CGAACCCAACTATATATATGTAAACTTTCGATAATTCGGTTATTTACCGAACCGTACGATAAACGGTATGAAAATTTGCGTACCGAAATTTCGATACGATTTTATGGAATGAACACATTTAAATTTACCAACTTAAAGATTTTTTCGTAAGACAATACATAGTTAAGGGGTGGGCTATAATTATGCAAACGAGAAGGTTTTTTACTTTTATATAATTTGACCTTATGTAGGGGTGGCTGTAACCTACCCTTTATTAATTATTATTATTATTAATTTTTTTTGACAAAGGTAAATAACTCCTCACATGGATGTACAACAATGGTGGACCAAAATGAAATGTACTATTGTCCTCGTGGTAGAGTTGGAAGAATTAGTTGAAAATATGTTTGAAAAAGTCACAAGTTTATGCTACACTAGAGAACAAGTGTATAGCATATCGTTCGTTTGTACAACAATATACATATGAGTTTTTGTTTGATCCTCATTTGGATAATTATCTTGTTTAATAAAGGGGGTTCGATAGATGCAGAAAATACTTTTGATAGGTTGCACAGTAATTTTTCATCAAATTTCAAAAAAATGCTACAATTTAACAAATCCTCTCACTCTCAATCGTGCAAATTGTAATGTTTTTTTGGGTTTTTATCAGCTAGGAAGCGACCATAAACCAGATGAACGACGATTATCCTCATTATCTGCAGGTAGATTTTTCATTTTTTTCCGGAATGAAAAAAAAAAAAAATTGGATCAAAGATTCGTATCTTGGATCGTGCTGAACAACACGGAAATCAATGACCAAAGATTTTTTGGGTTTAAAAAGTTTGAGAGAATATAATATTTTGAAATATGAAAAATTAATAAATATTGAAGTTAATATGTGACGTATCAAATTCCACTATGTAAATAATATTTCTGTAAATATTGAACTATTTATATATTTTAAATATCGTTTAATACTATGACTAGTATATATCAAGATCAAGAGTACAAAATATTATTCGAGCCCTCTAATTTTTTTAAAAAATTTGGAGACCCGAGACGACCACCTCTCGCCTATATTCAGAATCGGCCCTGCTAATCACACGTCAAACTATAATGGGTAGCTAGGAAAACCGTTGATAAGGAGAGGTAGATAGATGTAACATATTATAATGTGGCATTCCACTTTGCAATATAACAATATTATTGTTATACTTAGGAAATGGACAAAATTGATGTCATTTTTCTTATTGCCCTTTCTATTGTATTATCTCTTTTATATGTTCTAACAAGTAACAATTATGGCAACAAAACTAACGATGCTCAAATATTCTAGTAATTTAAAATTTGTTCCATCTGAATCAATTAACAAACTTAAATAGTCAAGAGCAATTTATATCAGCGAAGGTAATAAAAACCCACTAGCACTTCTGAATATTATGACTTTTGTCGTATATAATTGTTTAATTTTGAAACTTGAATTTAGATTTATTTTAAATGAAATTATTTGATTTTAAAATATTACTGTTTACATGTTAATAGTGTTTTGATTACATATACTTATATTTTGTAATATTTTTAATAGTTAGTCAAATATATCTTACGATACGATAAAATGATCGATACGACAATATATGGAGGAAAATGGTACGCGATAGTTTCCGATTTGATAACATTGATTGGAAACTATTTTTCTTTATTATTTATTTTTTTTTCTTTTTTCCTTTTTTTTTTTTTTTTTTTTGTGTGTGTGTGTCTGTAACAATATTGCTGAGCACATTTCATTTTTATTTGACAATTATTTTAGTTGTTATGCAATGGATCTGCACCACGTACGATAGTGATGACCTGCACATTCAAAAAATATATTACAAATTTACCAATTTGGACTTTTATTAAGCTTCACGTCTTGTCAAACTATTTTAAATAAATTTCCTAAAATATTTCTAGTTGAAATTTTTATTTTTATTTTGGGTGAAATTACTTAATTATTTTTATAGGGGAGGGGGGACTCGAACCCTACACCTTTTACCCTATTGGTAAGGCTAGGTACCAACTCTCCTAATGAGGGTTGGTAAAAATTTTAAAATTGTAATTTCGTAAAAAATTAAAAATTAAAAAAAATCAAAAGTTGAATATTTAAAAACTTTAAAAAATTACTTAATTGTTTCAATATGAGTAGTTTCGAGGAAATGAAAAACAAAAAGGATATATTAGAATTAATTTAATTGCAGCCGTTAAAAAGAGTTTGTTTTGATCTGCACCTTAGCTTGTAAAATACACCATCATGTATGTAGCACGGACACGGCAGAACGAACACGGAGAAATAGGGAAACTGACACGGGAAAACTCTGTATTCCAAAAAGTTGGATACGAAAAATATTGGGATGCACTCATAATTTAAAAAAAAAAAAAAATTATAATGTTTAATATCATTCCATAAATTACATTCGGGGCATATAAATTTATTTTAGTAGGGAATTTACATCTACAAAAATATTAAAACGCAACTAGAAGTGAAAATGAAACATAATATTTTACAAAAAAAAATTAAGCGTATAGAATTATGAGATTTTATTTAAAATGAAATTTGGATTTATTTTGTGTCGAAACGCGTTTCCAAAGTTTCACTATTATCAGAAACATCCCGAAACTTTTATATATTTATGAAAATGGCCCTGAAACGTTTCTGACATGTGTCATGGAGTTTTGGTTTCCGAAACGTTTCTGAAACACGGAAACGCCTGTAGGTTGAAGTTTCTATGCATCATAGACCATCATTAATCTCGCCATATACGAGTATTGACCACCTATTCTACATGTGTATGTGCCTGATTGTGCGTAGATCTACTAGTATTATCATAGTCTTATTAGTTCATTTGCTTCAATATTTATTAATCGACTACCGTATTCTTTTTTTTTTTTTTTCCTGTAATGAATGAACCCACAATCAACTATATAGGTCCAGCGTAAACCTAAACTCTCGTATAATATCTTACAAACTATACAAAAGACGTAAACTGCACTAGGTTAACCATGTGTGACAAGCTCCACATGACAATCGTTGGCCAGAGGATTTCCAACTTGAATCAATTGACCCAACCTTACTTGCTCAAATTATTAGGTCATTCCCCGCGGGACTCAACTATCATAGTCTTAATTAAATAGGACAATAATTAATTTATATATAATATATAAAAGAACCTTTTGTCTATTCATTCAAATCCAACAAATTGATTTCCAAAACTTAGTTCAATTATTTCTTAATTTAGTTATGTTTCAAAAAAAAAAAAATCTCTTACGATAAATGGGAAGTTAATTAGACACTACAACGGGTGATTGTTAATCGTAGATGATAGTTAAATAACCACTCACTACATTAAGTACATATATATACACATGAATTTGTGCATGATTATGTGCAGATTTACGGTTAACAATCACCAAGTGCAAATAACCTGATGTAACATCTAATTTCTGAAGCATAAATATAGTGTTTTAAAATACTTTATTGTTGGTAATTTTTGTAAATGAATGACAATTAATATGATAATTTTCGTGTGGGATAGAGGAGTATTATATTTTTATCAGAATTTAATAATCCAACGTTCATGCAAGTATAGCTATTTATATCTTTGTTTGATAAAAAAATAAAATAAAATAAAGGACTTTATTATATATATAAAATATAACATGATATTGAATATGGCAACTTGCCTCTTGTTTGCTTGTTCGTGCCAAGAACTACACATACTTTATCTTTAGAAACCAAAATAAAATTTTAAAATTGTTATTAGAAAATGGGGTTTCAAGATCAATTAATCAAGTCTAATGTACATAAAAGAATGAGTCTAAGTTCTAAATCCAGCTAAACACACACTGGCAAGAAGTTCCGGAAACGCAATTGGATAAATGTTCATCGTTCGATTGCAGTTTATTTTATACTACGTTCATCACGACGAATTATACTGGATATATCATTATTATTCGTCGACACACTAAATATGTGGTGTACACGTCACTCGATGTGTAGCATAAATTTGATGATTGTGATTTTAATTTGCTTGGATTTCGAACCTCAATACTACGAGTTACAAATTAAACGACATAGCATACGCTCGATATAGGAGAGGGAAATAAAAACTTGAAATTAATGATTTGTGTTTGCTCCTTAAATCAATTTCATTGTCATATTCAATACTCCATGCTTCTCATTTTGTTTGCCGTCTTGGCTAATACGCATATATTAAGAAAACTAAAAGTTATGTATAAATTATATGAAAAATCTTATAAAATGACTAAGAAGCCTAGATTCCGAGCAGAATCACTTATTTGAAGACTCGTGACTTGCTAGACTGGATTCCGAGCAGAATCATCGACCAATATTGAATTAGGGAAAAAATAAATGAGATGCTAAACTTAGCTATTTACAATGTGTGGATTTGAACCGTAGATTCAAATATAATACCACACACATTTATATATGTGCTCAGCGTGTAGTTATTTAATTAAATCCACGGTAGCATCTAAATCCCCGAAATAACCCTGATTTTGGGGGAATACGATGCTACACCTGGTGATTTTCACCGGGTGGCTCTTTTCTTGACATGTGTCCTTTTTTATTTATTTTATAATTATATTCTAAAAACCCATTGGGCCATAACTGAACCCGTAGTGGGAATCTTATTAATTATGGTGCCTGGTTATATTCACCAGGTGTAGCATAGAATTTCCCCTGATTTTGTCATGTTAAATGAACCAACAAAAGAAAAAAAAAACAGTTTGAAGAAATCCGACACCACACACATAAAAACTGCAATTAGAGAAGCAAAATCCTCTCAAACATTCCCTACAAATTCTCTCCTTCACTCTCTCTCTCTCTCTTCATTTCTCATTTCCATTCCATCTTTCTTCTTCTTCTTCTTCACAATTTCTCACAATAATATTAATATTATTATTAATATTATTAGATTATTACAACACCTTAAAAGAAAAAAAAAAAAAAAAAAAAAAAAAAGAAAAAAACCTGTACGTAATAAACATTTGATGATCAAAAAACAAAAAGAAGAAGAAGAAGAAAGAAGAAGATAAGACAAACAACAACAACAACATGGTCCACCCCGATCCAAACTTCTCCTCCTCCAGCGGCGCCTCCGACGGCGCCGGCAGCTCCGGCGCCGACGACTTCGCCGCCCGCAACAGCAGCTTCTCCGCCTACGACCCGAGCCGCCCGAGCGGCGAGGGCTCCCCAATGATGATGTCACCCTGGAACCAACCCTCCCCCTTCGCAAACTCATGGTCTTCGAACCCCGACTCGTCGAAAACGACGTCGTCGTCGGAGAACCAGCCGCAGAACAGCCTGATCGGATCCCTGGTCCGTGAAGAAGGCCACATATACTCCCTCGCCGCCAAGAACGACCTCCTCTACACCGGCTCCGACAGCAAGAACATCCGCGTATGGAAAAGCCTGAAAGAATTCTCCGCCTTCAAATCCAATAGCGGCCTGGTGAAGGCGATCATAATCTCCGGCGACAAGATATTCACCGGCCACCAGGACGGGAAAATACGTGTCTGGAAGATCAGCCCTAAAGACCCGAGCGTGCACAAACGCTCCGGCACGATGCCGACGTTCTTCGACATATTCAAGGCGTCGATCAAGCCGAGCAGCTACGTGGAGGTGAAGCGCAACCGCACCGCCGTCTGGATCAAGCACACCGACGCCATTTCCTGCCTGAGCATGAGCCAGGAGACCGGACTTCTTTACTCTGCTTCGTGGGACCGGACTTTCAAGGTTTGGCGCGCCGATAACTCGAAATGCGTCGAGTCCGTTAGGGCGCACGATGACGCCGTTAACTCCGTGGTGGCGAGCGTTGACGGGATTGTGTACACCGGCTCCGCCGACGGGACGGTGAAGGTGTGGAAGAGGGAGCAGAAGGGGAAGTCGGTGAAGCATACTTCCGTCCAGACGCTTCTCAGCCAGGAGTCCGCCGTCACGGCGCTGGCGGTCAACGAGAACGGCACGGTGGTGTACTCCGGCTCCTCCGACGGGCTGGTGAATTTCTGGGAGAAGGAGAAGGAGCTTTCTCACGGCGGGGTTTTGAAGGGGCACAAGCTGGCGGTGCTCTGCCTTGAGGCGGCGGGGAATCTGGTTTTCAGCGGGTCGGCGGACAAGACGATATGCGTGTGGAGGAGGGAGGGGGCGGTGCACACGTGTCTGTCTGTGCTGACGGGGCACACCGGGCCGGTGAAGTGTCTCACGGTGGAGAAGGACAAGGAGTCCGCCGCGGACGGCGGCGGAGATAAGAAGTGGGTGGTCTACAGTGGGAGCTTGGATAAGTCGGTGAAGGTGTGGAGCGTGTCGGAAATGGCGCCGGAGCTGCAGCAGATGGGCCATGGGAATTCTAACTGGGATTCCATACCGTCGGCCAAGTATTAATTATTTAATTAATTGATTGATGGAGAAAAAAAAATTAATTAATTAACAGTGGATTTTTTTATGTGATCATGGGCTTATGTAAATTAAGAGTTTATTTTTTATATATATGTATGTATGTGTTGTTAATTGGTGTAATTCATTGTGACTTATGACTACTATATGATTTTAATTAAGTATTATTATAATATTAGAGGAATAAATTTTCGTTTTCTTTTTTTTTTTTCACTTCTAAACAAAGTTTCATAAATCTCCCTTCACTCTTTTAATTAATTGTTGCAATTGAAGAAAAAAAAATGTTGGGTTGGGTACAAGCCTACAAAGCGTATTGCAATATTTGTAGTACTATCCACCAGAAAAGAAACTCGCTTCTGCTCGGTTTATAGTTTATACTATGCTGCACTGGGTGAAATATAACGTGTATATCTTTATCAATCAAGCGCAGGTTCCCGCACACATACACTTACGTTGGTGTATGTAGATCAACAGTAAAAGTCCATCTAATGTAAATAACCAGCTGCTCGTCACATCCCGTTTGATATGGAAGCAGGTTCTCCTAATTAAAAGAATACAATTTAATTTACTTATGAAAAGGTATTCTCTATTTATTAATTTTTTTTAAATAACGATTTCGATAATCCATTTTATTTTCTATTGAAATTTTTTGAGGCTAAATTTGGGATGACGCGAGTATCAACGGCCATCCCAATTCCCAACAAAAAATACGAAGGAACATAGGTATGTTATAATCACTAATAACTACCTAGAATAATTGGCATTTTTAAGTGGAGTTATGTGCTACACCTGATTTTGTATATTGGGTGATTGTTAATCGTAGATGAGATTAAAATTTTAAATAACATCTCACTAATCATGCATACACATAAGTGTGTTTAATTATATGCAGATCTACAGTTAACCACCCGATGTAAATAAACAGTACATTTCTTGAAATTCATACAATTAGCATGACCATAAGACTTGGTCTTTAAAAAAAATAATTATTTGCACACTGTAGCTGGTGGTATTCTTGTAATTACAACAACCTGTAGTCATCATTCAAAAATAACTACATAATCTCAAACTCACCAATACCTAACCCTACTCACAATATAGTCAGATTACAAAATGTTCAATTAAAATAAATATGTGTTCAAGCAATAGATGTTGCACAATTTCTTTGTACATACGGCTAATAATCGAAACAATCATTTTAATAATTTCGATACCGTAACTGAAAAATTCGATTTTTTCTTCAGTATGAAAGCCTTCGAGAGTGCCTCCTCTTCGACTCTAGTGCATTCGAATTGAGTCCCTCAATGCGCCCACTTCTACACCCAAACGAATCCAAGTCGAGACTAGCTGTACTTACCCCTTCCAGCATTTTAACAACCTATTCATAAAATGAAAATAAAATAAAATAAAAGAATTTAAATTCATTAAAATCTACACAAATTCAAATTTACGAATAAATAAATGGTAGTAGTTAACCTTTGACATGGGTGGTCTGAGGTCAGGATCTTGCTGTAGACACAACGAGGCAGCAAATCCCATTGCATGAAGCTCGTAAGGTAAACCGCCTTGCGGTTCGAACGAGGCCAAGCGTGGGTCCAGCAGTTGATGCTTGTAAGCAAGTATATGTATTGGTTCAATTGCAGATAATGCATCTATATTATCCAGCAAGAATTGATGTTCCGTGCAGTATTGTAAATCACGGGCTCTTCGGCCCGTGATTAGCTCTAACAGCACCAGGCCGTATGCATATATGTCGACTTTTTCCGTCATTTTTCCATCATTATAATATTCCGGTGCAAGATACCTATAGATATTAAAGAAGTAGAAATTAAACAAAATAATTAATTAACAAAACGGGGGCTTGATGTCAGCAAACAAGTTTTACTTGAATTACAATCATCATTAAAACTTTCTTGCAAATCGGGAAAATGAAATTGAGATAGTTTAAAAGAAACAAAAAAAACAATTAAACTTCTATGAAGGAAGTAATTTTACCCTGAAGCTCCAACGACTTGGTTCTTATCATAGAACTTCCACTCATTGTCCAATCTTGCCAGACCAAACTCAGCTACCTGAATTAAGACAACATAGGATATTAATACAACCGACATGTACTGTTCACTAAATCTCCTTGTTTACAGAAAATACAATATATATATATATATATATATATATATATATATATATATATATAGAGAGAGAGAGAGAGAGAGAGAGAGAGAGAGAGAGAGAGAGAGAGAGAGAGAGAGAGAGAGAGAGAGAGAGAGAGAGAGAGAGAGAGAGAGAGAGAGAGAGAGAGAAATAGAACATACCAGAGGTTCAAAATCATGAGTTAAAAGAATGTTGTCTGGCCTCAAATTTCGATGAATTATACATCCAACTCTGCAATCTTCATGAAGATACCGTAATCCTCTCGCAGTCCCAATAGCTATCTTTAAACGTGCCCCCCAATCCAATATCGGCATTCCGTTTCCTGAAAATGAAGGTTGTATTACAATGGCTGAACAAAGCACAGGGCTGTGTTAGGACAAGTACAAATCACGAAGCAAAACATAAAAAAAAAAATACCATGTAAATGGAAGTCCAGGGAGCTATTGCACACATATTCATAGACAAGCAATCTCTTCTTCCCCTCGATGCAAAAACCGAGCAGCAACACGACATTTCTATGCTGTGCACAGCTCAGCACACGCACTTCCCGGCAGAAATCGGCATCTCTTTGCGGGCCCACAAGCCCGAGTTCCTTCACCGAAATGACCAAACCATTCCTAAGAACTCCTCTGTGAACCAAACCGAACCCACCTTCTGCAACAAAATTCGTGTCCGAAAAACCATCTGTAGCTTCCTCGAGCTCCGTGTACTGAAACTGCTTCGGGGGTTTCCCAAATGCCGGAGCCTCGAATTGACAGAGCGAACATAGCGGAGGTGAAATCGAAGATGTTTTCTTTAGAGAGACAGCCTCACGAATGCTAGCGTTCAGTACATAATCTACACCATCAAAGGTATTCTGCCTACTAGGTGGATTCTTACGTTTATTTAATCCGTCGTAAAGAGGGTTTTGTTCGTACACGACGTAACTAGAAGATCCCGTGTCGGGACTTGATAAGGAATTATCTCCAGAGGTTCTTGTGTAGGAAGTATTTGGATCCTCGGGGCTGCTAACAGGGGTGGTATGCTTCATATTGTAGGTCTCTTTATCCTTAATAGGCGAAGAAGCAGCAGAGTAAAAGGGCGTTTGGATAGCACTAGGGCATGCTAGGTTGAGTCGAAGGACTTTTGCGTGTGAACCCTTCATGGCTACGATATTGCAGTTCAGTTCATCCATGCAATGCTTTAGCTCTCCCTTTAGTTTCCTGTCTTGTGGGAATAACAAAATTATGAATACACTTTCATTTAAACTATATACTCCCTCCGTCCCAATTTAAATGACGTTTTGGGTTGTTGCACACATATTAAGAAAATCAATAAATGTGTATAGATTATAGTAAAAAGCATAGGAAAATACTAATATATCCTTGACATTAATTGTTTTACAACTAACTAATTAGGAGTGATAAAGGGTAAAATTGAAAATATTGCAATTAATAATGCATTGAAAATCTAAAATGACAAATAATTTGGGACAAGAAAAACTCTCTAAAAAGACATATAATATGGGACAGAGGGAGTAGTATTTTAAGGAATTTAAAAACGAATTTATTGCAAGAACTTGCTTCCTTTCTATAGCTGCACAGCGAATATAAAAAGCACCGAACTATCCATTTACAACAAATATTAAATGCGTAAAAAGTTAACCATTTTAGTTACCGAGACTTGACATACATAACACATACCCAAAATACTTATTTTGTGTTTGTATTTGGATTTTAGTAGCGTCGTTATTCGAGTGGAAGTATATCTGCGAAGATACCAGCCAAGAGAAAAGTATGCAAGGAAAAAGTAAAAACATATTTACGTTTATTTACTTGTCCAATATGACCCAGCTGGCTGAGCTACTCCTCGTTTCAGCTGCGACGGCACCAGCAGTGATAACTGATACAACCTTAATTCTCACTCTGACCTACACAATGATAAACTAAGCTTTATTAGATACTCACTCAAACAATAGATGCTCTATTTCACTAACTAAAATTTACAAATTTTTAAATGTTAATTAACGATGACAATTTTAAAGTATTTGACTCCGTTCAGGTTGCTATAATGTGTGTGTGTGTATATATATATATATATACATACACACACATATAAATGCAATTTCAAAGTTTAACAAGTTCAGAAGTTTTTCCACAAACTATATTCTAGTGTTGTTGATTTGAATTGTCCTTTTATATATATTTTCACACGATGAATCGAGACTTTAATTCTTTCTTCCACTTGCTTTACAGAATTCATTGAGCGTAAGGTGCTGTTATCAATGATTAATAAAAGGCATTGGTTCACATGAACATAATCAATAATCAATCACATGAACGTAAACTTAAACAACGATTTAAAATATGCTTGGGCACTTATAATAATGATTTATTGCAAATCGACTTTTCCGAGGCACATGCTCTTTCCATTGACTCCATTGTTTGATTATATTAAACTCCATTTCACAGCCATACAAACTCAGAGAATCAATTTTCGAAAAGATTCCAAAACTACGTCGTTTCAACCAATTTTATTCCCCAAAATTCAGTCCCAATTAAGGCAAGCAATTATAAATTAACAAGAATAAAATGCAATAATTTAGGTACCTGAATTTGATCGTGAAGTTGAAGAACCATCTGAGAACAGGACTCCGAGATCTGACGAATCCGACCCGGTAACTCGGACGGGTCACAGCTCCGGCAATCCCCTTTCAACCTAGGAAATCCCCAAAATCTCCTCCCACCTGTATTTTATTTTACACCCACAGTAACTATAAAATCAATTTCATGTCAGAAAAAAATAAAAGGGAGAGAACTCTAATTGTGGAATTTTGATCCAGATTCTCTCGAATTTACCGGCTCTGTTTTCAGAGAAGATAGCGAGGAGGGTGATGCAGTCGCCGGGCCGGGCCGCGTGGGTGAGAGCCCAAGCCAAGCCGGACTTGGAGATTACCTTCTCTGCTTTCACTGCGACGATCACTCTCACCACCGTATCGCCGCCGCTACGGCGAGGCAAACCTGGTGGTTTTGACGGGACCATGAGACGACGGCGGTTTGTCGGTAACGTGGGAAGTTGGAGGGAGTGAGAGCTATGTAATTTTGGACCGTTTGGTAGAGTTTTAAATGCTATTATTTTTTATTTTTATTTTTATTTATTTATATTTATTAATATGAGTTTTAATTTTAAATACAACTTGTTGCACTTTGAAATTTAAACCTTTATATGGGTGATAGTGGCATTAAACTTCCTTTATATATTACATTATACTTTACTATATTATTATGAATATTTTTTTTTTTATTATTAAAATACATTGTTACAATTAATTGGATTAAATTGTCAAGCATGAAACGGTTTATATATATATATATATATATATATATATATATATATATATATATATATATATATATATATATATATATATATATAAAATTAAAACCTAGTGAAATATTTTTTTTTTCTCAATAAAATGAACAATTAAAAATCAAATAAATGTTCCCCAAAAAAAAAAAAACACGACGACTGGTTTTAATTAATTTAGTTTTGGTTCAAAACTGAAATGCAGTAGAACTTCGATAAACACATATTTGTTCCAAGTTCCAACCTAACGACAACATGTTAAAAATTAGTTCGATAATTTAATGTTTTGATAAATTAACTGGTTACGACTGCAGGTGAGGTTTACCACTATTTAGTATATTATAATCAAAATATGAGAAGTAAAATAAATAACTTATTTATGCAAAATAATTTATTAAAAAACATCTAGAAATTGATAAATGCAATTAATTTGATATTTATTTTTATTTTTGTCTGAAATGAAAACTGCATGTATCCATCCATGCATGAATGAAAGGGATGAGTGAGGGTTGAATTGAACGGACGAGATTGTCCGAAAATGACGGATGGTAGGGCTTGAACGGATGGGATTTCGTGATGATGACATGACTGCGCACCGCACCAATTACTTGGAGTTGTTTTCATGACAGGTAACACAACAATAATTGCATGTGATTGGAATAATTATGCAATAAATAAATGTATGCTATCATTTCTATTGTTTTTTTCTTTTCTTTTTTGATTAGACATTTTTATTAGGAAGAAAAAATAAATAAATAAAACCAATATATGAATTTAGCTCTTGGGCTTGGGCCTTTAGAAATATTTAGCCATAAAAGAAGCTAATTATTCTTCAAAACCAAATATATATATATATATATATATATATAGGGTGATGATATTATAATGTTTTAGACTTAGATATAGATGCTGAGCAGATCAACATAATTGTTGTTGTCAATTCTAAAACAATGTACTTAACTTCTAAACATGGGATACTTATTAATTATTATTACTAAATACTTGTCCACAATTAGTTAAAACCATCTAAATGACCATATATCATCTTATATCATCTTAAAGGGCATAAATGACAATAGGACTCCGGACCGAGTGTTTCCTTCCAGCTTCTTCGGTCCATGTGATGGAGCCATGTGCGGGAAGAGAACCGTTACCACCACTGTAAGATACGGTCAACTGGTAACTTAACTCCTCGTATTTTTTGTTGAACACCAAAGTTGTAGGCCGCACTGTAACTTTTGTGTACTTTGGCAGTTGCAGCTCAACTCTATATGACGAGGGGCCATCCCACACGTTTGTCACCCTCCGCTTAAACACCCTAGTCATCACCGTCCCCTCTCGATTCTGCTTATAAATTGCTATGAAGGCCGGATAATTGAGGTCGGACGAAGGAGTTGAGCAGTCGTAGCTCGACCTCAAGATCGACTTTGTTTGCTCCCGCGTGAAGTTCATGGAGCACACGAGATTGACGTAGTCATGTCTGGTGACGTTGTAAATCAGTCCAGGATCGAGGGCCCGATTAGGATCAATGTGGCCCGACCCCATTGCCAGCGGAGTTGCAGCTTCGAAATTAAGCAGGGAATCCCGAATTGGCTTGCGGGTGTTGTCCAAGGGGTTCGCTGTCGTCATAATAGCCGATTTTATTGCCGACGGGCTCCACTCCGGGTGCGCGCTTTTGAGAAGTGCGGCAATCCCCGAAGCGTGGGGGCATGCCATAGAAGTGCCCGAGATCGCATTGAACTCACTAGATAAGATGATGGTACCGCCAATCGAAGCTGTTGGTTTATTTGGCATCCACGATGCCAGAACTAGGGTTCCCGGTGCCATCACGTCGGGCTTCAATATGTACGGGCAAGCTCGTGCAGGGCCTCTAGAACTGTATAAAGCAACAACTGGCGACCCCTTTGTCCCCACGAGTGTCTGTTGTAGCTTGATTGTAGCAGATGGAGGAAGACGTGCAACTTTTGTTGCGTACTCGATCAAGACTGATCCGTCCTTACGACTGATCAGGACACCGGGAGATGGGAAGTGACTCGACAGCTGAAGCTCTGGATTGTCCGAGATGAAAATAGCTGCAGCGACATTTGAGATGACGTCTGTTCTATAAAAACTGGATTCGTCTTCACAAATGATAATGGCGTGCCCAACTCCGGACAAAGCGTCACTGGAATTACAAGAGGAAAGCGTCTTGTTGTAGATGAGAGGCAGATTGTCCAAAAGAGCAGAAGCTGGGAACATAGACCATCCGAGAATTGTTGCTCCGTTTCCCAACGTGAGTGTTCCGGCAAAGAACCGATCGACGGAGCCCGCTGCAACTGTCAACGCCCATGGGATCCCGTTGTGCAAAGTCGCCGTACCGCCATCATTTCCAGCGGAAGTAGATACAAACACGCCTTTCTCAAAGGCGCCAAAAGACGCGACAGCGATCGGGTCCTCATACAGGGGATATTGGTCGAAGCCCATTGATATGGATATAACATCCACACCATCGGCCACGGCCCTATCCATACCTGCCAGTACATCCTAAACAAGAGGAGATTGGGAACCTGCTTCGACTTTGTACATAGCAACGCTAGCACGAGGGGCGACCCCTCTCGCAGTCCCCGGCGCATAGCCGAAGAAGGAAGCGCCCTCGACGTAGTTTCCAGCGACTGTGGACGAGGTGTGTGTGCCGTGGCCCTTGGTATCTCTTCCGGAGTTATTATCCGTATTTAGATCTAAATTTGCGGCTTTGGCCCCCTTGTCGAAATACTGGACGCCGATGAGTTTCCTATTGCATAATGAAGAATTGAAGTTCGGTCCCTCTTGGCATGTCCCTTTCCACCTCTTGGGAATCTCGGGCATCCCGTGGTCCTTGAAGCTAGGGCTCTCGGGCCATACACCGCTGTCGATTACACCGACGATGATATCTTCGCCGTAGTTGGAGGTGGGCCATAATCCCGTGACGTGATTTAGAGAGAGGAATTTGTAAGTGTGTGTGGTGTCGAGGGTGAGGTTTCTGTCAATGTAGGCAGTGAGGAACCCCGGGGAGTTTTCGAGCGAATGTAGTTCGTCTTCGGACAATTGTGCACTAAAACCGTGCACAACGTTGTCGTAGGTGTAGATTATTTCTGGCGGCTGTTGGACGTGTGTGGATTTTATCGATGATATGGTCGATGAATACCAATGGCCGTGACTCGGGAAGATCATCGGCATGGCTTCTTTGTCCATGTGGACAATGTAGGTGGATCTTTCACACTGTCCTAAGTTGGAGTAAACCAACATAAGACACGAAAATAGCATTAAAAAGTGAATATAGTCCATGATTTTTTTTTTCTCAATGGCTGACTGATGTGTGTGATATATGTGTTTTTGAAGATTGAGGGAATTTTACAGAGGGAGGGAGGGAGGGAAATTTGATGTGTTAATGAAGATTGTGGGAATTCAATTTATAGACGAATTTCAAATTTCTTATTTCAAAGAGATATTTTTACATGGCTTGCTAGCTTTAAATGCAAGAGTTTGGACTCAAAACGCATTGTTTTTATTTGTGGCTGGTCCTTTTATTGGGTTCTTTTCTTTTTTTATACGAAATTTTTCGATTATTGATACATAGGCAAAAAAAATAAAATTAATTGAATGGATTGTGTATTTGTGAACTTTTAGTAAAGTAAACCTATAATGTAAACTCTTTTTTTCCTCAGCGCTTTAAATGGAAGAGTTTAATAGTTTTACTCAAACTCCAACAAATAACTTTGTTTGCATTAGCGGAATACAATAATTGTAATTTACATATTATTTAATTGATTTCTTGAAATATTATTACATTACAAGAAATAAGTGAGTCTATGTTAGGTTTACTTTTTCTTGTCAACTATTTCACCCAATAATAGAGTGTTCGTTTCAAAAAAAAAAAAACATTTAAGAGTGTAAATTTCTAATTAACCTGGGGCTGCAAATTTAAATGATACTGAAGGTAATAAGTTTTTTAAAAAAATAGGGAGATAATTTCTTAGAATAATATTTGGATTTTGTTTCATAACAATCATATAATTGGAAGTCTTGGAAGCTAGCAATATTATAAAACTTAATAAGAATTACATGTTGTTTAATATTTTATAACCTCTTATGATTTATTTGGTAAATTTTTCTAACAACATCTTAATATACTAAAATATAAGTTGTGAAAAAAAATGTGGTTGTGGTCCTTTTTATTGTAATTAACATATTCATTTAATATTGGATTAATGATATATCTTTTTATATCTCTTTTCCCATGCAAAACGTATTGTCTATTTGTGGTTACGGTTCTTTCATGTAACCGAATTATTAGATTGTTGATACGAGGGAGAAGAAGAAGCAAAAATTGTAACAAAAACGCATTGTCTAGTTGTGTTTGTGATCCTTTTATTGTAATTGAATTATTTGATTAATGTATATATTTGTGTTTGTGGTCCTTCTATTTTAATTGACGTATTCGATTAATAATGATCCGTGATACAAGAAACAAACGACTAAATTCGGAGTGCAACCTACAAAATACTGCTAATGACCATATGATTTTGATTTGTACGGAATCTCCAGTGTAATCTTGAATGACCGAAAAGCCATGTTAATTTTTTCCCCCTATGTTATCTTTCTACAAAGTGTACTAGCCCTTATTTCGTTTTTTGCCTCCTCATTTTGTCATTTGCAGTTGATTTAGATGAAATGACAAAACTACCCCTAATTAAAAATTAAACAAAAAAAATACCCGACACAGAAAAAAAATCAAAATATCAAAAGGAAAAAAA